CACTGGGTTTAAATCTCATATGCCCGTGTTTAATATAAAAGAGTTCAATTCCAACAAGGTGTCAGGATTCTTACAAATTTTGTTTCAATTCCATGCATATTATTTTATTTTAAAATTACAATTATGGCAATTTTTTATGTTTAATACATTTAAATGTATAATATTTTTATATAAAACATAATTCATTTATTATGACATTAAAGTAATTTAATGATCATAGCTATACTTTGTGAGCTGGCACATTTAGAAAATATATTTAATATAAAACTGTCTCAAAATATATTAAGATTTTAGATTTTATTCATACAATTTTTAAAAACATTCAAAATTTTATATTTAATATTTTAATCATATAATTTCTTATTAATTACTTTTTAATTACTCATTCTATTATCTTTCAATTGTACTACTAGGGCAACACTTAACTTATTATTATGCTTCTCTTTTAAAGGCCAACATTCAGCGGCATAGAGCATTGCAGGTCTCATCACCGTCTTATAAAATTTTCCTTTCAGTCTTAACTGTACTTTTCTATCACACAAAAGGCCCGAAGCATTCCTCCACTTCAACCAACCAACTTGAATTCTACTATTAACATCCCCATCTATATCACCATCGCTTTGGACAACCCAAGATATCTAAATCGTGCACACCTTTTAATAATTTGATCACCTAAAGTCACACTTTTGTCACTAGAGTTATTACTACTAAAATTACATTCCATGTATTTAGTTTTAGTTCTAATTAAACGAAGGCCTTTAAACTCCCATTTAGACCTCCATAATTCAAGTTTTTCCTTGGGCTTTTTCTCTCGTTTTATCCACGAAAAGAATATCATCAGCAAAAAACATACACCAAGGTACATCCTCATATAGATGTCCAGTAAGACAATCCATAATTAAAGCAAAAAGAACTTGGTTGATTTAACAAATTTTAGCTCAAGCTGGAGCATATTCGTACGAGTTTGAATCAAGTTATTGAAAAAATAATATTATATTAAACTAGTAGTACAATTGAAAGATAATAGAATGAGTAATTAAAAAGTAATTAATAAGAAATTATATGATTAAAATATTAAATATAAAATTTTGAATGTTTTTAAAAATTGTATGAATAAAATCTAAAATCTTAATATATTTTGAGACAGTTTTATATTAAATATATTTTCTAAATGTGCCAGCTCACAAAGTATAGCTATGATCATTAAATTACTTTAATGTCATAATAAATGAATTATGTTTTATATAAAAATATTATACATTTAAATGTATTAAACATAAAAAATTGCCATAATTGTAATTTTAAAATAAAATAATATGCATGGAATTGAAACAAAATTTGTAAGAATCCTGACACCTTGTTGGAATTGAACTCTTTTATATTAAACACGGGCATATGAGATTTAAACCCACATACATTAAGGGTATTATTGAATAATCTGTTGATAAGCTGATTAAAAATAATCTGCTGATAATCTAGGTGCGGTTGCTCTTACAAATTTTTATTATTTTTGAAATGTCAAACCGCAGTCAGAAAGCTTCAATCGCACCTACATAGGCGCGGTGCGAAATTATTATTTTTAGCGTTTTGAAACGCATACGCTTCCAAAGTGAAGTTTATCCAAACAGGCGGGACGCATTTTTAAAACGCCACCACACTAAATAAACTGCCCCAAATGGGGCCTAAATGTGTTATGATTCAAATGAGTCTAAATCAAATACTTAAGATATAGCGAATTATATTATAATATTTTTTAAGAGCTAAATAATTTTTAAATCTCGAAAAAAAGTGCATGGCATTAAATCTAAAGAATGAGGGTTCTTAAATTGAAATTCAAATTATTTTAAAGTCGAGTATAACCTGATCAAGCGGTGGGGGAACTAGAACCCATGTGGCCTGGTTCTGATGAGAATTAAATTCATCAGACATAGCCTACCGTCAATGAAGATCTTTGGATGCCTGAGCATATGAAGTAGGATCGGGTGGATAGAAAACTTGATGAAGTTTAGTGTGTGATCTTGTGTGCACATGATGGTGAATCATTTGTTTGGTGGGAGGGGTTGGAGGTTTTTGTGGAGTGGGGTTTTGTTGTGAATTCTCAAATGAATTCTTATACTTAGATTTCTCAGAAATAAACATTGATGGCATTAATCATTTAGCTTGCATTTTCCACTGGGACCTTCCCCAAGTCTAGAAGATCATACAATGGATGGCTCAGACCTCGGATGATGTAAATCATATTTCTTGCATATTTTAAAATTAGGATGAAGGCACAAATCAGTTTTACAAAAATCTGTATTTTTGTTTGGGTATTTACATAAATACCAATCAGTTGCTATATATCTACATATCTATTGTAGCACCCAAGTCTTCTTATAGATGTATGTAAAAATTGCCATTAAGGTGTTAGATATGAAAATAAATAGGAATTGAGTGGTATGTATGTAAATCTTCCTCTACTTCAATTCTAGTGATACAAGCAAGCTGATTTTAACTGATTAAAATAAACATTTCGGTACAAATTACAGAAATGATTATTCAGTCAATGCTGAAACATTGTTCCAGGCATTTGGAGAGAGGGACAAGTACTGGATTAACTTTTAATGAACCTCATACACTATCTATCCAAGGATATGTTGCTGGGCTTGAAGAGCCAGGACGAAGTTCCATTCCCCTTCTCCTCTTTTGTAGAGGAGGGAACCTTGAAGAGCCAGGACGAAGTTCCATTCCCCTTCTCTTTTGTAGAGGAGGGAATGCAGCAACTCGAATAATTATTGTGGACTTACGTCCGGATAACGAACGCAATATGCTTTCGTGCGGGATCTTTTTTTTTCTCCCCGACGAAGATGAATCACGTCCATTGTCCGGAAACAGAGCTGCGTCCGAACTGTGGACGAAATAATTTACCCAGCAAGTGGGCCTGTAGACATATATAAGAGAAAGTATAATTGTGGTCCTACTCTTTAGAACAGGTCATTTTAGTCACATAGTTTATAAATATCAATTCAGTACATAGATTCTGTTAATATGGATTGAAATTGTCTATAAGGAGGATTATTTTAGCCTCAATTAAAGATTCAGAGGACTAAATTGATACTTTTATACACCCTGGGACTAAAATAGACCACTACGAAGAGCCAAATGAGTATTTTGACATTTTTCTCCAATTCTTATGGACGCTCTTCTTTTCATTATTCATATATTAGAATGATTGTTGGACACATTTGTTGAAGATAAATTGGTGGAGAACAGGCTTTTAGATGGTTTGGTCATGTGTGGTGAATGGTGAAAAATGTGTGTCTAACTTTATTTTCAACATAGCAAGGAAAAGATGTAGATCAAAGATAGCGTGGATAATAGTTGTGAAAGAATAGCAAGCTAAATATGATTAATAGAAAGATAAACAATTAAAAAAAAAAATTTTTTTTTGGCACAATTAGGAAATATTATGAAAATTTGTACGTAGACTTTATAAATGAGCAAGCAGAAGCATATAGGGCAATAAAAAAAAATGGCATTTAATTTGAGTTGAAGTAGAAAGCAGAAAGGTTCCTAGTAAAACAAATATACAGAAATATATAAAGGGGGCATTTACCACCTATTTCCTATTTATTTATATATCTATCACCTAAAATTTATTTTTAACATTTTCACCACCCAAATTTTTTTATATCACTTTTTTATATATTAAAAAGTGAAATCCACTTTTATGTGTAAGAACTGAAGTTTAAATATTAGATATGCCTGTAAATCTTAAAATTACAAAAAATAAAATACAAAATTATAGATACCTAAACATGACATGTTACGTATAAGATAATAAAATTATGATTTATATAATTTAAATATATAAAATAAAATACAAAGTGTGAAAAAAAAAAAATGGCATGCAGATTGAATTAAACCAAATAACCTCAACAAATTGAATTTACACTTCTAAAACTCAACAAGATCCATATAACATGGCTACAAATTATTGAAATTTATATTTGTGCAATGCAGGGAGGATGATTGCAATGTTCAAGGATACTGTGTGTGGTCACTTTTGGGTAATTGGGAATGGGCTGCAGCTACACTTCTAGATTAGGTATGTATTTTGTAGAATTACAAAGACAACCTAAAGAGATACCCAAAGAATTCTGTACAAGGGTTCAAAAATCTTCTAAGCTCGTCACGACTTTAGATAATAAAAAATTAACAGCATCTCTCGGATCCAGCACTGAAAATTCTTCATTTCGTTTCCAATCAATATGATACACATTCAAGCACAAATATTACATTTTCTTTCCTTCCATTTCAATGCATCAATCTTAGATAATTGTGGATACTAACTACGTTGGCTAAGGTTTTGGGTTTGATCATCGTTAGCATGATAATAAATTCTTATTTTGAGGACTTTTTGGTGAATTATAAAAAAAAAAAAAAGCTGAAAGGAGCATTTCAGCTGTAAGAAAAGTAATAATAACCTACCAAGAATGCCAGAAGAAACAAGTAAACTATGTACAAAACATATAACCTGCCAAGAATGTAAAGCAAAATAAAAGAAAAAAGAACTTATGCCCTGCTTGTTGTGACTGATAATTTGTTTTGTCCTATAGTAAGTACTGAACAAGCAGTACCTAAATATTTACATGTCTAACACCCATAGATCTATTTCATTTTTTGATTGTTATGCATGTAAATATGAATGCTTAGGTGTTAGATATATAAACACATGAGAATTGTATGGTTTGAAATAATTTGATTGCTGAAGCAGTCAAATAGTAGGCCCACGTGGTCTGTTACATTGAATTTACATGTCTTGCTTGTATAGGAAAATATGTTAATCATTTGGCAGATAGAATGATGCTATAATAAACAAAAATTAAACTTATTTCAGTGATAATTCTACCAAACTAGGTGGCAACCAACAGCTAAAATTATATTTGTTCAACTAAAGAAAGTTAGTCGATCTTATTGAAAGTTACACAAGAATAAAATACTCTTCTCTTGATGCCAAATAATCCAAAAGAAAGTTGAACAATGCATTTTAGTCACATTAGAGATATATATAGATTGAGATGATACAGAACAAAATTGAGACAATATTGAAAAAAAATACTTCTACCATAAACCCACCTGATCATACATTTATGGAATTGAGGAAACAAGCGTACTTGAAGCTTATTCTGAAGGACACGTGAGAAAATAAACAGCCAAATGCAGTATAAAATGGGCCTAGTAGCGGAGCAGATAAGTTCTGCGCCTGAACCAGTTGTAGTCAGGGAGCTTCTGAATAGGCCCCATGGCAGCAATGGCAACGTCCTATAATAGACCGAAACCATAGGCTTTAACAACAACAACAACAACAGCAATAGTAATAATAATAACAAAGATTATTTATATATATGCCACACAAATCTTATGTATTTACATATCAACTACCAACACTTTGATATTTATATTAATATCACTTTATCTATGCATGAAAAAGATGTATTTCACATTTAAAAACTATAGTAATAGTGATATTTTTTATGTGACATTACAGATTTGAATGTTAGAAATATTAAAACTAAAGCTTAGGTGTTATATATATATATATATGTGTGTGTGAGTGTGAGTGTGTGTGTGTGTGGTTTCGAAAATTCACGACCCCTTCCCAAGAGATTCTATGCAATTATTTTTATTTTTTGTTTTCATAACAGTTTTGGAGGATCGAATTTTCAGAATGCAAATTAGATTGTAGTAAGACACTACCTAGATATTTCGCCCTCATTTAGCCAGAATTGTAGATAATAATCCATCCTGATAATGGGAGAGTAATTTCGATTAAGATTAGTTATTAAGAATTGAATATTTGACATATAATAATAACAGACTTAGAATTTAAGTTATAAAACTTACTTGAAGCTCAAAGCGAATGTTGAGGGAATGAAAATCCGATTAAGATCCAATGGTTCTGTTATCCTGGCCAGTCACATCTACTTAGTTAGAAGCAATAGTCGACCAAACTAGACAGAAGAATTCTTGTCAGCAGTCATGAGTTGCATCGTCCAAGAGATCCTTGTAGATCTAAAATGAATGTTCGTCTAAGGGAACAAATTTAAGTTAACTTTAGCTAACAAAGGGTTTTGTGCCAATCAATTGTACACTTATGATTCACAACTTAAAGCGTAAAGTCGTTGGGGAACATAAGGGCTGCGGTCGTGACCGTAATTTAATTATGTCATTTGTCTACAACCACACGATCAGATGACTCTGGTCATACCGCCACTTCGTGATGTCATTTGACAGTTGAATCATACATACAGAGGACTCGAGTCATGTTCATACTGGCATGCAATCACTTTGATTGTGAATATATTGATACATGCAATATTACATTCGCTCTTTATGAGCTGAAATCAATCAAAAATTTGTCACCCTCCATAAACTGTTGCGGTGGGTGGATGAAATTTGTTTTTAGCTTTTAGTAATTTATTTTAACTTGAGTGTATAGTCAACTACTTTAAAAATCTTGATCTAAAAGATTAACACCACCGTTAAAATCTTAGATCAACAGGGCCATCATTAGAGAATTTGAACATGTAAAATATTTATGTTTGAGGAGGGGCAGGGGGGGGGGGGGGGGGGAGTTTTTT